GACAAGCTGTGAATTTACATATTATTTAGGCATATCTCGCGGAAAGAAAAATATTAATCACCTTTATTGTTTTCTAGACCGTCCTGGACAAAACTGGCGAGATGATCAACGATTTGGCCAATCTGCAGAAGAATCGTTTAAGTTCAGTACCGCCAACAACGCTTACCGATCAGCCGGCTCCAAGTAACGTTGAACTTAACTTGGCAGCAAGAGTGCAGTCCCAGCTGCAGAATCAGATAGCACAGTTTGCCAAGCCTGGTAGTGTTATTTCTTCGCCAGTTATCCATAGTGCTGTTGGATTGAACGAGGAAGACATTGATTTACTAAATGAGTTTTTTACGACTCCGGCACCAACTGCTACAGTGCAGTAGAATAGTTGAAATATGCTGGAAGCGTCGTTTTCACATTAGCACTTTTTCACGACTGAATTTCGCAAGACTGCAGTCTGATGAAGTACAGTAAGATTTTTATTGGTAGGAGAGAGCATTTGCTGGAGAGGCGTCAGACCTGCTTAAAAAATACCAGTTCTTTTTATAACTAAAAAAGTATATAAAAGATTCGATTTCTGAAAGATTTGAGAGAGGTCATTGTTTATGGCATCGCTGCTTTTAATGTGTGCATTTTGTGATTTATTGAAGAAACTATGCAGTGGTAATAGTTTCCTGTGGGGTTTTACTTCCGAGCTGTTGTTTAAGCTAAGTCCCAGTTTGGTATGCATCTTTTAAATGGCGGGTTCATGTAACACTTTCGAAGTGCAATTTGAGCTTTTAACTTATTCAGCTTAGCATGTTTTGGTACAAAACTCTTTTCGATTTTAATGGTAATTGACCAGAAAACACTGAGAGTGTAGGAGTTTCACGGGCTTATTTTTACTCTGGCGTTGTTTTTGTTACTATTTAGCAGTTACAGCTAGATTTCTGTCACTCGCTTCTTTCACGAAATGTGTTTAGTTCCAGGAAATTTTTATTGTAACTGTATAGAAGTGTTTTTTTATTGTTTTAGCTGAACTGAAAGTAACAATAGGTAATGGATTCGGGTATCGTGGGAGGAATGGGGGCTGGGGTAGAAAGCGAGTGAGGAGGAAGATGCTTTAGTATATTCGGCCACACCTCCATTTTCCTGAATCTTCTGTCCATAAATTGTGTCTTTTTCCTTTGTTTGCTGGTTACACAAATTCGCAATTGATTTTGACGGCTGTTTGATCTTCTTGCATTGCTTCGGGTAATCCTAGTTTACAACCTAGTTTATCACGCTTTCTGTACAGTGTGGAGGGATTTGGCTATTATTAGCCAGATACTTGTATTCTTCGCGCTATGAACAAAGTTTTGCTGTTGATCAAACCTTCCCTCATGTCCTCCAGATCTTTTACTGCTTTTGAATCGGGCTTTACGAACAAAAAAAAACTCATCTTACAACACTTCAGCACCCCCTATCAGTGGCAGAATTTAGTTCTGAGAAACGGAAACTCCCAAGAACGGAGGACTGCCGCTGATAGAGGTGTGAAGTGTCGTAAGAAGAATGTGTCAAAAGGTGGAGGGGTTACTCATATGTTCGGGTGAGCAATAACCCCCTAAATTCGCTACAACAATACTGAGCACAATACATGCCACAATGGGCAAAAAACACATGCAGGTGACTGATATCTCCCGCCAGCACGGGAGCCGTACATCACAAAATTTATGGAATTTGAATGTGAAAGTTTATGAAATTTGAAAGAATTGGTGGCTAATTTAGCAGAGTTTTACATATGCTATCATTTTGAGAAGACTGTCTCTAGTCGTTCATTGAAATCCAAAATCTCATCCAGTAATACATACCTAAAGCAAGCAGTCATCATCTCACGATCACTGTTGAGAAAATAAGCTGTTGCAAAAAGAAGAAAGTGCTACTGGCAAGGAACGAAGATGGTGCTAAATCCCCTTTGCCTTGCCTAGTTACCTTTAGGTTCCCTATGATATGCAAATGTCCTGTCTTTTGACTCGAGTTCCCTTCTCTGTGATATTTAATGTGCTGATTAAAAATTACTAGCGATTGTTTTGCGGAAAAGCGGCAGCAACACCAAGCTACCGCAGCAAAAAAAAGTTTTGCTGCGGTAGCTTGGTGTTGCTGCTGCTTCAATTGTTGCTCTTATCCGGTGACAGCTTGGAGCTGCTGCAGGGTAATCGGGGTTTGTGTTTTTTTTCGATTTTTTTTTGTGGTTGTACCAACAAGGAGTCCTCTGTAGTGTACCCCCTCTGGAGCCCTTCCCATGCCCCGCGGATCCGCGGCAAACGAGCAGCATGGGTCCTGCTTCCTTCCGCCCATCGCTCCCTCCTCCCTCTCCCCTACGTGACCAATCGATTTCCCACCCAACCATCCTTTCTCCCGTGCCTCCAGCCCTGTGGTCACCATCCTCACACAGTAGCTCTCTCCCCCTTTCCTTCCTTCATTTTCCCTTTCCCGCTCCCCGCGTCCTTCTTCCCTCCCTGTC